TTTAGGGTGGAGTCTGCTCATTGAAGACTTAAAAGCATGTTATCTATGAGCCAGAAAGATTTGTGCTGAAGTTGGAATACTATGAATGACATGTTGAATTGCAACTACGTTCAATTAGGGTGTTGTTTCAAAAGAGTATTGTTAAAATTGAGCATCGGTATGACACTCTATTCTACTCTAGATTACACGAGTTTGTTTCTAAACAGTGTATACAACACATTGGAAAGGAGTTAGAACGGGTAAAATTTGTTGGTGGCAACTAAGATGCACGTGGTTGCTTCATTAGAACAACACATGGGTTACCATGTGCGTGTCAACTTGCCAGTTTCCAAATACAAGGCGATGTTGTTCCTTTAGAATCAATTCATGCATTTTAGGGGGAAAATTACACATTGAAGAGCATGAGATCCCTATTGAAGGTAGAGGTACCCAAATGGATTTTGAGGATGAGTGTGAAGTGTTGAAGAAATATTTTATTACTTTGGATATTCTTCGGCTATAGGGTGTTAAAGAAAAAGGTTATGGAATTAGCACCTCCGTCCACAACTTCCATGTGTCTACCTCTGGTGAAATATAAACCAAAGAGGGGGCAAGAAGAGCATAAAGGGTCAAGAGAGTAATGTGCATCATGATCCTTCATAATGGGAGTATGCTACGAGATCGCAGAGTAGTCAGGCTACCAAAAGATCATGCACAAAACCAGCTACAAGTCAATAGGAAATTATGCCTCCTGTAAGTCAACCGTCCACTAAATCTTTAAGAAATGTCTACTTATCTCAGTTTCCTGATTTCCTTAAAGCATACGTTGATGACATTATCGATGTGGACAACGATGGAAATTTTGGTTTTCCTATTATTGCTGCTCAAATTGGATGGGACGAAGATTCAAGGTCTTTGGTCTAGGTCTGAGCGCACTTAGATACTCAAGTTTGTCAATATCCTAAATTGTACTCCAAATTGTTCTATAACACGGTAGATAAAGTTAGGAGTGTGTTGCGGGTATCTATCTTAGGTGTGCAGGGTGTGGATAAATGTATGATGATTCCTGATATGGGTCACCCTATTGCTTGCAGATACAATGTCGTATTTGTCTCCTTGTTCATGGTTCAAAGCATTACTTTTTCCCTCTTGTAGTTGCTTCACCTATGTATACAAGTAGGCAGGAAATCATTGTTGTTGGTTTTATCAACAACAATCTTTGGATTTAGGTAAATTTTAAACATAATTGCCCACTGTCTCCCGTCATTGGCCATTGGAGTGAGAACTGTACTAAAGAGGCAATGGCATGGGAAACGGCATTTGCGGGGCGCATTAGGCATTAGGAAGACGCAGTTAGAAAGTTATCATAGTTTGTTTTATATTTATATATGTAGCACATTTTAGAATTTTACGTATATATTTTATTTGGTTATTTACTTAATAAATTAATGCAAAAAACTCAACAAAAAAATACCCAGTTATACCAGATTTTCCATTATTTTCTGAATTTTTTGTGCATATCAAAATTTTCAAAATTTCGGACTGTAATATGATAATATCAAAAACTGTGAAACTTTTGATATTTATAAATAACAAAAATAAAATTGACGGTATTAATAGTGAAATTCTTAGTATTTTTGTTCAATAATTTTACTAAAGGGTGTATTGGTAAAAACACACAAAATAGGAGGTGTCAGATATATCAGAGGGTGGCAGGTTTATATGTGTGTGTGTGTGTGTGTGTGTGTTTGTGTGTGTGTGTGTGTGTGTGTGTGTGTGTGTGTGTGTGTGTGTGTGTGTGTGTGTGTTTGCGCGCTCAATTGATATATGACACTTGAATTATAAGTTTTATTTAAAAGTAATACATTTTATTAATTAAAAGTCATTAACATTTTTGTTTTATACCTCTGTTTTACACAATAGTCCCTCTATACAACCACCTAATTGTGTGATCTCGTTTTCATTAGTTTGATATCGAAGTAAAATGAAAAATCAATTATTTTATTTCAATTGCACATGAGTCCCTTTTCCATTATTTTTTTCAACAATTTTATAAAGAGTTAAATATATGTCACCCCCTGCCAATATAGAGAGTTTTGATTTAACCCTCTATAAGACTTTTTTCTTTTGCAATTCTCCCCTTACCAAATCCAGATTCCCTCAATAAAGTCTCTGGGGTTTCGCTCAGAATCTAAAAATATGTTCTACGTGGCATTGGGCAACTTTCTGACTATGTAAATTTTCACACGTTGCATCAGTTTTTGATTTCCCCCGTGAAATCTAGGACTCACAAATCTAATTCGCGTTTTTGTTATCTTCTTCTCCATTTGTGTATACGTTTTTCTTCTTCTTCTCCCTGGTATGAATGTGCTTAGAAGATAACATGGTTGGAAGCAACACAGTTGGAAGTAGCAGCACACCTTCCATTGGATTTTCATCTTTACCCACATGTGGATGCGATCATGCAATGAAGATGTGGGTCACCAATACTATTCAAAACTGTAATAGGAAATTATGGAGATGTCATAACGCAGGGGTAAGAAAGTTAATAATGTTGCACATCATAAAATCCATTATGTGATATTTGTTTGTAAATGTTGTTTGTGTTTGTAGAATGGGAATAAATGTGACATGTTTGTATGGGATGATGAAATTGGACACTGTATAATGAGAATACAAATATTCCAGCAAGTTACAAAAACTGTGAGATGGCAAATGTGAAGTTAGAAATCACAACAAAGAAGTTAGAAAAAACAAAGATAAAGATTGATGTTCACAATAAGAAATATTTCAATTTGAAGATGGCACTTGTGATCTCGTGGTTTATGTTTGCAATGTTGTATAAGTTTATTTAATTTTTATCTTGTTGTAATTTGTTGTAGCTTGATGTATTTTAAAGTTTATACAAAAAATGCATTATTGTATTTTGAAGATTATGCAGACAGTGTAAGATGCCTTTGTATTAATGAAATGCTTCATTTTGTTGTCATTCAATAATTGTGGTAAAAATTAATGAGATTAATAGTTCATAAGATGATTATAAAATGACACAAAAAGTGTGCATTAGTCATTACAAAATGGCGCAAAAAATGTGCATAAGTCATTATAAAATGGTACAAGCCATTACAATAGGACATAATAAAAAGACATAAGTCATTACAAAAGGACATAAGTGATTATAAAAGGACATATTAAAAGTACATAAAACTACTTCTTTGATTTATTCTTTGGATATTTCTTTGTTATCTTCTTTGCATTTTGATATCCATTGCCTTCTTGTGTCAGAATACCTCCTTCATCTCCTGTCAAATACATTGGTTGGTTAGGGTTTGAACCAGGTCCTATGATTGGTTTTTGAAACCATTTCAGCTTAATTCTCTCACTTGATCTCTTTCTCATGGCTTTGCCTTCTCGTTTGACGTTAGCTTTGCCTTTCTTTCTGACACAAGTTGTATTGATGTCAGTTTCTGTTTGCGTAGCTAGATTTGTTGTGTTGATTTAAGGTATGATTGACATAATCTCATAAGAAATATCACCAAAAAATCTTGTATTAGTTGTGTCTGCATCTTGTTGACTTGCATTCAGCTTATCTGGTTTATTTATATTCACCTCAGCTAGTTGGTTTTGGCTTGCAGAACCATTACCTGCATCAGACCTCTACAACAATCCAATTGACAGAAAATATCAACACAACATGAAAGAGAAACCAAATAACAAAACATGACTAAATGACAATATGTGATATGCATTCACCTCAGTTAGTTGATTTACATTCACTTTAGTGGCTGCACTTGTTCCTGCTTTGCTGCCACTTTAGTTTGCATTACATGCATCAACCTTGACCTTTTTCTACAACAATCTAAATGACAGACAATATCATATTCATATTTTGACAGAGAAACCAAACAACATGATTGAACAAACAAATAATATACCTTTCTTTTCAAGGTATTTGGATTTTTTTTTGCTCTTACATGACTGAACATTGTGTCCAAACTGATCACATTTTGTACACCTATAAGATGCACTAGGAAATCTTGTTCTAGCACCATCCTCACCACACTCCCTAATTTTTAGTTTTCTTGGTCTTTCAGGACCTTTTTTGTACAGGGGAGGTAGAAGCTCTTCATTTTGAACTTCAAGCCACTTTTTCTGTCCATTTATGGGACTCACAACAACACCATAACAAAGGGCATATTTTTAAATAGAGTAACATTCATCAATAAACATTTATGAATTATGTTGCCTATAACCTAAAGATGCAACAATGTGCCTACAAGGAATGTCAACCAACTCCCAGAAATTACATGTACAAGACCTTTTGGAAATGTCAATTATGATTTCATGTGTGTTATAAGAACGAGTAACCTGAAATTTTTCACCCATAGCCTAAGTTGGCATCCAATGACTACTCATAGCCACCTCATTATCTAATCTATTAATAGGAATTGGCATAACCTTGTGTGGCCACTTATCAAGTTTGATGGCAAAAGTAGAGCACCCATTCACTAAGTACTTTCTAATCCATTCACACATGGTTAGTATAAGTTTATCCCTAGCTACTAAATTTTCGCATTAAAAGACTCAGCAATATTGTTCATCAGTACATCACATTTAGGGTAAAACTAAATGCATGCTTACACAAATATTTTGGAGGTACTCCTATTAGCCATGTCCAAGCCTTGAGATCTATTTGCTTTAGTTCATTTATTTTTTGCATCCATCCTTGATAGTAAGTTTCCTTGACAGCTCCCATCATAAGGTCTGTTATTAATGATCCACCTCCAAACTTTTTCTTGAAATTCGCATACAAGTGTCTTAGACACAACTTATGCTCTATTCTTTCAAATATTGCTACCAAACCCTGTAACAAATATGAAAATCACACACCTTTAAATACAGCTAACAGTAGATACTTTAAAACATAATGAGAAGTATGAAAACCACACACTTTTTTGTTGATCTGAAATAAAGACATATTTATTGTCTTGTCCAACATATTCCATTAACAACTGTAGAAACTACCTCCAGTTGTCTTTTGTTTCAGTTTCCATAACACCTAAGGCTAATGGGAAGTATTGCTTATTGGGGTCCCTGCCCATAGCAATTAAAATATAACCACTATATTTTGTCTTCAAATGGCATCCATCAACCCCAACAAATGGTCTGCATCCATTTATGAATCCTTTTTTGTAACCATCAAAACAAAAGTAAAAAGATCCAAAGCTTGGTTGAATTGATGTGTATGGTATGTCAACATTGATCTTCATAGTATTCCCAACACTTACCCTTTTCAACTCAGCAGCATATCTCCATAAATTTAGATATTGCTTGTATGCATCTCCTTCAATTATCTTCTTTGCTATAAGCTTTTCTTCCATGCCCTAGCCACATTAATTCCCACAGAGTAATTTTGTCTCATGTCTTGAATAATATCACAAATCCTAACCGTCTCAGATGTTTGCATTTTCTTCACAACTCTCTTGGCCACCCACCTTGAGTTTTCATATATATTATCCAAAACCCTAGCACATGTATGGTTGTTTATTATTTCTTTACAGCATAAGTGTGCTCATGGCCCACTTTAGAGTAAAGCATTAAAAAACCACATTTAGCCCTGCATTCTACCCTTACCCTGTAACTCTCATTTTTCACAAAAGTAATTTTCCTACCAATCATGGCCGACCCTAGGGGTAGGCCACCAAGGCTACCGCCTAGGGCCTCACTTTTTAAAAAGTATTTATATAGTTTTAATTAGTTTTTTTTTTAATTTTTAAATTATTTTCTATATAAATTATATAATAGCATCTATTAAGAATTTATGGTAATAACAACCATTTAAAATATATGTTATATAATTGATTAATTTAAAAATTAAGATCATCTTAAATTTTTGGAGTAACGAAGGTTTTATTGCGAACAATAAATAAGGACTCTATTTTGTTGTTGTTTAAACATAATCAATATTTTTTAGGCTCTTTTTAGCTATGACTTAACTGTGAAATTTTTTGAATTCTATCCGATAATCCGTCTTGTACACCATTAAAGACGGTCATGTTAAAAATAATACTTATAAATAATAAACTTTTAAATTCTTTTATATAAAAGAATACTTGAAATTTAAGTTTTTTAAAAAACTTTGGTAATATTTTTCTAATTATGATTTTTTTTTAAATAGTTAGCAGTGTATTTTGATGTGTTAACTTTATTATCAATTGAAAATAAAATATTAAATATAATTGATTAAATTTTAAAAAACTTAAAATTAAAATTCATTAATCTAAAATAAAAATATTTTTATTATATTAAAATATTTAATTTAAATTTTTGCCTTAAGCCTCAATATGTGTTGGTTCGGCCCTGCTACCGTTTAACATTGACCACTCACGAATTTCCTCTCTAAAGTTATCTAGAGAATTGAATTGCATACCCCGCATAAACTTAAAATTCTTATTTAGTTGGTATTTCCTAAACTTATCAAACTTAGGCCCGTTATCATCATCAGAAACATTTGGATCAGAGTTGTCTAGCTCATTACTAACATATTCATCATCTTTCCATTTCTTCTTTTTGAAACCAGTTAACAATCCAACAACTATGATACCCTCATTAATGGGTAGAGAAACATCAAATTCATCTACAATAGCAGTGATTCTTTCATCCTCACTATCATTAAATCCTTCAACTCCTTTATCATCACATCCATCTAACTCTACCATCTCATTCACAAACCTAGAACTTTTTACTATGACTTCTAAACCAGTGACATCATGCTCCACAAACATTTCCCCGTCTACTTGGGTCGCACAAGCGTATGCAGCTAAATCGTAAGCATCATCATTATTCCTAATCTGGAAAAAAAATGTCATCTATGTCAAGAATTTTGGTCCACGTCTTGTACGTCCTTTCTATGTAACCCCACTCATTCACCAACTTATGAATGTTAACCATTAGCCACTTATCAATGAGTTTCCCTGACACTATGGTCGAAACACCACCCCCTGTATATCGTATCACCATCAATCAACTTTAAAATTTTCCCTCCATGGTGAAATACAACATTAAACACTTGCATGTTCTGAAATTACAGATAACAGAAACTTTAAACCAAAGTACAGTGCAAAAATAGTTAAGAGCGACGTTTAAACAAAACTTTCAAAAAAACTTGTGACATTTGCGATTCGTCTGTGTATTCTTCAGGATGGAAATCGTCATTCGCTCCACCGTGACTGCACCGTAACTTCGTCTTCTCCAATTTATTCATCTTCTCCAATTTCTATTTTGGGTTAAATGAACAATTGTGAGCCCTAGGTTTTCACGGGGGGTAAATAAGAAACTGATTAAATTGTAAGTTCTTTTTTCTTTTAAATAAAATACTAAATACACAGTTAGTAAGTTGCCCAAAGCCACGTAGGACATATTTTCAAATTATGAGCGAAAATGTGACTTTAGGATATTTATTGAGGGGATCTAGATTTGGAAAGGGGATCTTTATTGAGCAAAAATGTTCATACATACCTAGCCCGTGAACACATTTACTTCTCCTGCCATGATTTATTCGCACTAGATAGCAATTTTATGGTTTCAATTTAAAAGGTATAGATAGTCACCAAGTTCATTAATTTAATTTAATGTTCTGTTTTAGTTTTTTAATTAAAAATTATTATAAATTAGTCCTTTAATTTCACTTCTGTTATCTTATTTGGTCCCTTCCGTCAATTTCTGACAAAAAAACGTTAAGTGTTGGTGACGTGGTATAACAGTAAGGTCATCAGTACAAATCTAAGTCAGTGTATGTAGTTAAAATCAATATTTTAAAAACCTGACCGAACCGGCTGGTTCAACCAGTTGGACCAGGAATCGGAGATGAATTTGGTTGGGTCAACCTTTCAAAACCGCTAGTGGGTTAAAACCAGAGTTAAACCGGATTGAACCGTCCAAAATCATTTGAACTAAAGAATCGGAGCTGGTTTTGTAAAACCGTCCGATTCAAAAAAATTCATCAAATTGACCATTTTTTAAAATTAAAAAAAAAATTAACATATTAATATCAAAACTTAACATACATTTTTCAATCACAAAAAAGAATTTCGTATATTTTTTACAACCATACAAACTTTTATGTTTTGTCACTTTAATATAGTTTTTCTTTAAACCACACTGCATCATCACCTTGCCGTCTCTTTCAAACATAGTCACGATGTCCAACTCTATCGATTTTCGTTCAAGTCAATAGTGTTTATTGTTATCAATTAAGACTTGTTTGTCGTAATTCAACTCAAATTCGATTTTTTATTGTTTAATAAAGTATATTGTATTATTTATATTTTAGTATTGTATCTTATTTAATTTAGGTATTCTTAATTATTTGAATTTTATGTCAGTGATTGTTGTGAATCGGATACCTTTAAACAAAGTATAAATGGTTTCTTAATGATCAAGAAACTCACAAGGGTTAGGGTTAACAAAAAAAACAAGGTAAAACAATAAGGAACAACAAGGGTTGGTTATTAAACTTCTATTCTTTCCTTTCTCTTAGAACAAGATTACAAGTATACAAGAATAACAAAATAACCTCTCTCCCTTGAAATTAGGATTTTATCTTCCTATTTTTCCTTATACCAAGATTGAGAAACTAGCATCCTATTTATAATAAAATAGCACACTAACCTAATGGGCTTTTTAACAATTACCCATTACAAGCCAACTTAGGGTACAAGCTAACTTAAACAATTGGGCTTACAAGCAAGACCCAATTCAATATGCTAACAACCCTAGCAATATTGACTAATGCATGTTAGAACAGACTTTGACTACAACACGCATTACTCGCAAACAGACTTCGACCATACTAGAGTTCGATCCAACATCTCACAAATCTCCACCTTGGATCTAACTCTATAACATCAGGAAACTAGCTTTCTTCATGCAGTTTTATTAACTGCATACAGTGGAAAAACTTGCAACTGGGCAACGTCTTGGTGATCATATCAGCAACATTATGATCTGTCGAAACCTTTAGCATTTGGACTTCTCCACGCTCGATTACCCCTCTGATGAAATGCAGCCTCACATCAATGTGCTTGGTTCGCTCATGATAGGCTAAATTCTTCGACAGGTGTATTGCACTTTGACTATCACATTTAACAGTGATAACTCGACCTTGAAGTTTTAGCTCATTTGCAAAACCTTCAAGCCATAATGCTTCCGTCACAGCTTCAGTTAGGGCAATATATTCCGCTTCAATGGTTGATAAGGCAACGACCTTCTGAAGTGTTGCTTTCCAACTGATTGATGTCCCAAACATAGTGAACACATATCCAGAGATAGATTTTCTGGAATCCATACAACCTGCATAATCAGAGTCGACATATCCTTCGATTGCTGCTTTACTATCTTCACCCAAGGTTCTACCATAAATTAGGACTCTATTCATAGACCCATTTATGTACCTTAAAATCCATTTACAACTGACTAACCTGGCTCCAGCAGGTTTCTTGATCAGTTCCCAGGTGTTGTTATCATGAAGAGATTTCATCTCATCATCGATGGCCTTCAGCCATTCAGTCTTCTTTCGACTCCTCATAACTTCCTTATAGTCTCTGGGTTCTTCACCTAGAACCTCACTAGCAGAGATTAAGGCATAAGCTATAAGATCTGCATACCCAAGTCTCTGAGGTGTCTTGATGACTCTCCTCGACCTGTCTCTTGCTAGCAGGTAGTCATTATCAGTCTCCTCATCTTCGACAACATCTTCTGCGTCTTCTTCGACTTCATCTGGGGTACGCAGTTCAGCATCAACATGCTCCACCTCAACAGGAATCTCTCCCTGTTCCAGCTCTTCATCAGCATCATCAGTTTTCTTGAAAGCCATCTCTGCTTCATTGAAAACTACATCTTGACTGGTGATACACCTCCTATGACCTGGCTCTAGGCACCATAGCCTATAAGCTTTGACTCCTTCAGGGTATCCCATGAACATGCACTTCAGAGCTCTAGGTTCAACCTTGTCTTGCCTAATATGAGCATAGGCCACACAGCCAAATACTCTCAGTCTGTCGAGACTAGGTGGATGTCCCGACCAAACTTCTTTAGGTGTCTTCATTCCCAAGGCAGTCGAGGGACATCTATTTATCAGGTAAGCTGTTGTCGAAACAGCTTTCGCCCAAAACACCTTCTTCAATCCAGCACTAACCAACATGCATCTGACCCTTTCAAGGATTGTTCGATTGAATCTCTCAGCTAAGCCATTTTGTTGAGGAGTACCTGCTACAGTCTTATGCCTTGCAATCCCAGACTCAACACAGTAACTGTTGAACGCTTCGTTGCAGAATTCAAGGCCATTGTCGGTTCTCAACCTCTTAACCTTTCTGCCAGTTTG